TTGTGCACTCTTTCCCAAAAGCCCTCTGTTGAATTACTCCAGTGAGAGGACCAACGACTACTTACCAGGAAAATGCAGATAATGAAACAAATTAAAGTCAATGACATCAACTATAAATCTATCCCTAATCATAACCTTAACCTTAATCCTAACACTAATTACAATCCTTATACTTTCCGTAAACCTAACCCTAATCCTAATTATCGCCCTAGTCCTAACCCTAACGATCTATTAACACATTGTCCAAACAGTACTTAGAAACGTGATCTGGGCGAAATTAGCTCCTTAGTTGGTGAATAGGCGTTGATATTTCAGCTATAAAAATGACAGGTGCCGTTAGCCAACGATTAGCATGCGTTCAAGGTCACTGAGGCGTTCACACTCCTGGGACGCCATTGTCGAATTCCGCCCCCCTTTGTTTATGATTCAGCATGTAGCGAAATTCCACTCAGCAAAAGATAAACTTAAACACAGCCATTTAAAGTATATCCTTCTAGGTGAAGGCACTGAACACCTTGGAGCACAGAAAGCTATGTTGATATGTTCCGCATACGATTCACTCATGTCGAATGTAAGCTATTAACAGTGAACAAGTTTCTATCAACTCCTCTAGCTGAAAGATAAGCAGTGAAGTGGTTCAAGGTGTTGACCATTTCACTTATTTGGCGAGTTTTCTCAAGCCCAATGAAATGATTGCACGGATATAAAAGTCTCATGTCTGTCTGTTTTCAACATAGAACTCTGCAACGATGTGCAGCGGTTACCGTCGCCACACTCCATGTAGCACACAAAGCATGAGAAGAAAGTAGAAGAAATGCAAAATAGAGAGAGTAGACAGGGATATGAGACAAAAGGAATAGTAATATCGAAGAACAATATAGTTTCATTGGAAATCATAAGTCACAAGGAGTGGATACATCTGAGACATAGAGAACGATGAGTTTGAGCCATATCACTGATTGTCTCCAGGTGCCATTGGTTTTTACTATCCCGAGGACCCGAATCAGGAAGTCTACATCTGCCTACGTGGCAGGTGCCGTTAGCCTGACCCTATGTCAGTTAACATTGCCTGTCGAGGAAGGTGATGACTCGGCATACGTAACACATGTCCTAACCATCTCAGTCGATGTAATTTCACAGCCTCGTCGATTGATTCCCCCCCCCTTCCCTTACCTATCTCTCGACGCCTAACCTCAATATTACTCATGCAGTATTCACCATCCTTCAACATCTCGGCAGCACACATGATATCTGACTATGCATCGTCGGGAGAATGTATTACACCACAGTTCAGTCTGTATTTCTTCATGACTATGAGATATTGCCGCTAGTTGTCTTGTGTTCTCTCTCTTGTGTTAAGTGGCATGATAAGGTGTGTAATAATACGGTAACGTGTAAGCTCCTACCCGAAACCTAGTCAACATCTATCTATATGGTTTAGAACAACCAACAATCAGAAACTACATGGATTGGTGACATGCTTTCGTCTGCTCATCTGCAAGACTTTATACCCCAATCTAACCTCAGACAGAATAGTCTATCGATCGGGTAGGGTGACCGTTCAGTATGGGTAGCACATGTCCTAGCCATATATATGGATGCCCAATAATTCACTGGATGGTTCAGGTAATCATTTCTCTCAGCACATCTGAACAAAGGAATCAGAACAGCTTTTCTAGGATTAGATGGACCCTCCTTCATTACTACTTCATAGAATTTTCGCCAACCGTATACAACTCTAACTGTGAATAGCCAATTCGCATGTTATAAGAGTAGAACAATATGCCGAAAGTGGAGGCTAGGGAAAAATTATACATACATTACTCAACAATTCATCCAGACAATCATACAGTTCCCGAAATCCAGGAATTAACAGGGTTCACATCAAGTCAGGTATGACGGATATTCGCCAATAACATCACCTTGGGGTGGTCACTGGATTTCGTCCGAGTGACTTAATGACCACCAAGCTCACCTCGTAACCTGAAGCACCTGGGTTCGACACCAATGAGGTCATGCGTGTGTACTGCTGAAGAGTCCCAAAACACGACGAATCAGCTGTGTCCAGGTACTCTTCCTGGTTTTCATAGGCTCACTAACTCCTATTAGCTCTTGATCTAACCTGAATTAATTCATGCAAGGCATAAAATGAAAAGTTTTCACTGTACAGCAAGATATGAAATACCCTGTGGAATAGCACAGCACACGGCATTGAACGAACACAATACACGCCAAGATCATAATCATCCCTCTTGAACTAGATGTTCAGATTATCTGAGATATATAGGCATAAATAGGCTTGATGGGTGATGATTGAGTGTGAAATCAATATCTAGGTGGCAGCAGGATTCGAGCTAGAGGCCTCCAAATTACTCAGTCAGGCTGCTACTAATCAGATCTTCACATTTCAGTGAAATCATCACGAAGAGATAACACTCAGCTATCATATACATCAAAGAAACGTTACTCTATATTTATATGCCTATCTCACTAGCTGCCCACCTATGTCTTCTCCACCCTTCACTCTTAACACTTTCTGAATTAGAAAAAGAGGAATAGGCTGTTAAGTGATGGTGGGGCGAAACCATTTGAGTCCTGAACTAACCTTCCAATTACCACACCTATTCAATGACTGATTGACTGGTTTCAACATAGTACTTTGTACACAAATACAGGAGTTTGAGTTGCCACATTCTATATACCAGACAAAGGAGATTCAAAAGACCATAATAAATAGATGCGTGAAGGAGAAAGAATAACAGCATGGAAGAACAATTGGGTTTAACGGATATGCAGAACTACAACGAGTGAATGAATCTGCGCCAGCTGCCATTGATTCTTAGCATCCCGAGGACCTCAACCAAGCAATCGATACCTTCTTACGTAGCTGCCTTAAACGAACTGTTATGAATTTCACTGACTGATGAAGTCATGTTTTCGTTTGACCACCACCACCATTTGCTACCTCTTTTCCAACCTGGTTCATCCTATGTCAGTCAGCTAGCATTGCGCGTCGAGGAAGGCTATGGCTAAGCAGGGATGCGTAACACATGTCCTAACCATCTCAATCGATATAACTTCACGACCTTCACGACTTCAAGTGACTTCGCCTCCTTACTTAGCACTCGGCCGACGCCTAACCTCAATATAACTCACCTTATAATACCACTACCTAACACGGGAGATACAACGCAGACACCTATGATCACAGACAACTGGCATTTTCATATCGTCCTCAATCAATGGCCATGTCTCACAGCCAGCCATAAAGAAGAATAGAGAGAACTGTTGCTGTGCAGTATACAAATCCTTTGATCGATAAGCAGTCGGAAATCATGTCTACTAGGCTGACTGGCAAATGTCATACGAGCGTTTTGTATCCGTATTGAGATTTCGTCAGCAACTAGGCGTCCGTCGGGACTGATGCAACTTAACCCCCAAAATAAGTGAAGTGGTCAACACACTCTACCACTTCACTCTATCTTTAAGCTAGGAGTGAGTCGATATAGCTCAGTCCCGTCCAGTCAGGCAGCATAATCTTACTTCTGACAGGAGCAAATCGCTTGTCAAATATTCGAAAATTGCTACTCCTGAAGGTGTTGAGAAGACTCTGCACTTTATCAGCGCCTTCACCTGCGATGGGAGGAATATATCATCCACATATTCTAAATCAACAAGACTATTTATGCCTCGGTAACAGATTAATCCTTAAGTGGTTGAAGAGTCATTTGAAGTCGATTTCATTAGTATATATCCATTCAATCCACTTAATGTTTCATAATATGCACTCCAATGACTTTAATAAGCATCTATGCACCATAATTACACGTAGTCAAAGATGCTTTAGTCAAAAGAAATTTGACGGTAGGAATACAAATTAAAATGGGAAAAAGTAAAGCATCACATTCACCTTTTCAATAGCATAAAACAAATATCAGGAAGTAAAAGCCCAGCCATATAGTTAATTACACAACAATCAATGAATGTTAATGGAAAAAAGAATGTAAGAATAGAACTTGTGCACTGTCGTAGAGTATAATTCCATTATAGGTAAAGCACCTTGCAATGACTGTGAGGTCACCCTATATAAGTAAACGTTACTGTATAACACTGTGAGACTTTATTAAAATAAATTTTACCCATAAGGGGAAAAAAGAATGATACAAACATCTAAACCTATGAGTTTACCCCACCTAGTTTACTAACCAGCCCCAAATCTGAAAAAAAGAAAGTTTGGGGGGCTAGCGACCCTACCCCGGAAAATCAATCCGACCGCTACAGAAACTTCATCGCTGAAATTAAAGACACGAAATAACGCGGCCTGATGAAAGCCTTCGGGATACCAGTCAGCTAATGTGTTTTCTTCCAATGAAAGCAAAAATAAGCATGGAGGGATATGGAATGCTCACACTCGCGAACTCTTATATTCCACCCGTAACATAAGGCAATAATTATAAGCCTTATCCTCCTCCCCCCGGGGTAGGTAGACTTCGGTCTTCACCTCGAAAAGCTCTCATTCTGCCACATGTGTTAATAACCTCTGCCAGATAAAAGTCCTACCGACTGCCATTCACATAAAAATATATGGGTGAATATGAACGTTAGAGCTTGCGACTAGACTGGTCATGTAGGTAGGTCCACACCTAGGAGAACAGGAAAACCCTAATTCCAAACCTATGATGTGCATGGATTCAAGACTCCGGAAACATCGAACAGCATGTACAAACCATTTGACCGTAATTCCCGACACTCCACTCCACTGCACTGTCAGAATCAGACTTCAAGTCAAAGGTAATGGGGGTGTGTTAGGAATGGCCCCTCAAAACAACCGCATCAGTCTGGACATCTGAACAACAAATATCCCACCCCTCAAACAAACTATGAGATTTTGTGTGGCGCGGGTCTCGGTGGCCATAATGTATCAAATTTGTGTATTAATAATACTAATAATAATAAGTTATAGCAATACAAAGCAAGAGGAAATACAACAGACGACTTACACGAATGATAATAATCATTTAGAGATAGAAATCCAAAATTAAATGCTCCCTTTTGTGCACACTGAAAGTAGAAAGCGTAAAAAAAGAAAATAATAAAAATTTACATGTATACACGTTTGTTTATATGCAGAAAAATATTCAATAATAAATTCATCCATCCTACTAAACATACTCAGTTGCTGAGACCGACTGGTTTCAATATAGAAATTTTCACACATGTGCAGCACTTCGAGTTGCCACACTCGCCACCCCCCCCCACCCAATGTAGCACACAAAGCAAGAGAAGAGATTAGATAAAGAGAGATTCAAAAGAGAGAGAGAAAAAACACAAGTGAGAGTGAGGGAAAAAGAATAGCAACGTGGAAGGACAAAAGATTTTTTTATTGGATACGACAAATCACAAAGGGTGAATGCATCTGCACCAGCCATTGACAACGACGACTTTCAGCCATATCACCGATTATCTCCAGCCGCCATCATTGGTTCTTACCATCCTGAGGACACCAACCAGGAAGTTTACACCTTCCAACCTGATCCATTTTATGTCAGCTAACATTGCCCATTGTAGAGGAGGACAATCGATGGCTGGGCAGGCATGCGTAACACATATCCTAACAATCCTAATCGATGTAACTTCACAGCCTCGTCTATTGATTTCACCTCCTTACCTGACAGGCTCGACGCCTAACCTCTATATTACTCACCTTATTATACCACCTAACCAATGTAGATAGAATGCAAACACCTTTGATCAAAGACAGCTAGCCAGGCTTTTCATGTCCCCCACTTTCAATGACCATGTCTTAAAGCCAGCCATAAAGGAGGACGGAGCAAACTCCTGAGCAGTACACACGTCCTCTGGTCGACAGTCTGGTATCACGTTTACACCAGAGATAGCGTAAACTGCCATATGCCAAACGAGCTTACTGTATCCGTGGTGAAATTTCGTCAGCGATCAACCGGGATGCAACTGCCTCCTAAATAAGTGAAGTGATCAACACACGCAACCACTTCACTCACTTCCTATCCAGTCCTGTAGCATCATTTTACCTTTGACAGAGGGAGCGTATCTCATGTCAAACCGTTGCTGGGATCAGGTTTTGAGACTATGCACCACACATTTATTGTATATGGTCTACAGATACTTACCACCCAGTTACCAAAGATAAATGAAATAGGCAGAGCAGGATTCAAACTCATAGCCCATTTGCTTGTGTAGTTAACTGTTTAAACCAGTGGACCACTGACTCACTGACCAGAGACATTAACAATTGCCACATGAGTAGCACAGTTCTCACTCTTGCGCATGATGATTACACCATTATGGTGAATGAGATTAGAAGTGATCTTTATTTTGTGTACAAGAGACGAAAGTAGATCTTACTTATAATTGAACATTTTTAATAGTACAATTAAGTTATAAAGCGTATGGACAGTCTATCAGAGCCATGTGTGTAAATGTAAGACTCCACTTGACACCAATATATTCAGATTATGAATTTCGCTAGAATTACTAGTTAAGGAACAACTGAAAACAAAGGAGCACTACTGAACAGCTATTCCTGATCACGGTGGAATGGATTATACTACTACAGGCTGTAGGGAGCGAAAAGACACGAAATACGTTGGACCGACAGGAAGACGACTCTAGACTATCTAGATTTCGCAGATGATTTATGATGTCTAATGTCACACAAACTCGAGCACTATCAGCTAACAAGTTGGCAGAACAACAAATGAAGACAGGAATTCGAATGAACATAAAAGAGAGAGGTGATGAAAAAACCCTGAGTGGCCAAAATAACAAGCACCAATCATTAATCAACGGAAGGAATTTCAAGGAAGTCACTTCTTCCACGTATCCAGTCAGGTAAAAAACCTCATGGAACAGGATACCAAAGCCAGCTAGGATCGCAAAGGCAAGGCAGACTTTCGCCACTATGAAATCAGTGGAGAAATCTACTGCAATGAGCATAAAGAATAGGCTTTGGATTTCCAATACTCCTATATGATTCAGAGACTGGGTACATGCGTCACTAGAAAAATTTCCAACAGATTTTAGACTTCTAACCAACAGCTGCTCCCTTTGCTAAATGCCGAAGATCAGACAGTCGGCCAGTCAGTCGGAAAGGATACGTAGCAAGGAACTCTTCCAGGCAATAAACCAACCAAGAACCCATTGTGTAACAAATGAGAAGAGGAAAATGGAAGTAGACCGGACACATGCTAAGGAGGCCGTTCAGTGTAACCCGGATTGGGGACGACTAGTTGGGCATGGGTCCGAGGGTGAAATGGAGTAAATGAAAGCTTATGGGCATTATTTCAACCAGCTGAAGAGGATATAAGAGAATAAGACGAAATACTGATATGCTATTCCATAATAATGATATACTGTACAGCTGTTTCACCCCAATTTGAAGCTCTTCAGCGATGCACATCCACTGTGTCCCAGTTAGGGACACTCAACTTATCCGTTCAACATCCACTGACCATTCAGCTACTGGAACAGAATCCAATATCCCATGAATGCTACTCTCACCAGTCAATTCGCAGTATATAGCGTAAGCACCAGTCCAATAATATCTACGAGTACCTTACCTTGATCGACTGCACTAGCCATAACTTCTCGCAAGAACTTCAGGCAATCCCCATCTTGCACATAATCAGTTTTTCAAGTGTTGGTTTCTAGGCATTTTATTGATCACAAACAAACATCACAAACAGATATCACGAATTAGCAGAAATCAGAACCTGATGAGACATTGAATTCCCCTGTGCAGTGAGTGGCTGAATGGTCCACACACTTTGCTATATAACCCGAAGGTCCTCGATTCGAACCCTGATGGGTTAGGGGTGCGTACTACTGAAGAGTCTAAAACCAAGACGAAACAGCTACGCAATACCCCCACCTGCCGCACTATGTTTAAAAAGGTTCTCTAACTAATGTCCCGAGTTAAATATCATGTATATCCTAGCTAAGCATAACACGATGGAGACTTGTTGAGTCCGACAATAGGAAATTATCCAAAAACAGGAATATCAAGGTAATTTATGTTTAACGCTTGGGTACTGTGGTAGCAAGTAATTTCATATTAGTTTGTTTATTAGATACATTACCTAGTGAATGAAACAGTATTATTATTTACTGGATGACACAGTTTCGAACACAATTCATTATTGTTCATAATCATTTCATCAATTATAATCACACGACTTCGAAACTTGAGTTTTATAGTTTTCTTTGTTCTCTCCTATTTGTCGTCGTTGGGGTAGTAGAATTTTCCAGATGTCTGAGTGGACAGGTGTTGAATCATTCCCATGCTGTTACATTAGATTTTGAAACTGTCATCTTGTCCCATCCCATCCTACTGTATGATTGTGTGTAACTGCATGTAGTGAGTGCTGCAGCTGAACTATTCTCTAGATTTCTTAACTTATTTGGGTCAACTAATCTAAATTTTGCTAGGTTTTTATGTTCAGCTAGTCTGACTGCCCCTGTTCTACTAGTTTGACCTATGTATTTGACCTGACAATCATTGCAGACAGGGTATGAGATAAACTAAGTTGTTTTGTCTTAAATGCTCCACAGGATCCAACATTTAACCGACAAAGCTTGTTTCTAAATGAGTTCGTGGGTTTAAATGCCAGCCACTTTTATTCCTGCCTTGTTAAGAATTCTGCGTAAGGTTTCCAAAGTTCCTTCTTTGTATGGAAGCACTACTGATGATTTAAATTCCTTATTGTCCGTGTTGTCGTTACTCTGCGCATGTTTGACATGCATGTCGTCATTAATGTTATTATTATTATCACTACCATTATTATTTATTTTATTTTTACATTTTCCTACATACTTCCTGATTAATTTATCAGGCTAATTATTAGTTAAGTTTTAAAGCTTCTCTTATAGATTAGTTGACCCAAATAAGATAAGAAATCTGGAGAATAGTTCAGCTATAGCGCTCACTACATGCAACTACACACAACCACACAATAGGATGGGATGGGATGGGATAAGATGACAGTTTCAAAATCTAATATAACTAACAGGGTGAAGAGAGAGATTGATAACAGAAGCTTTGTGTATCGAATCAACTAAAGAAGAATACGTGCAATAGGAATGATTTAACACCTGTCCACTTAGATATCTGGAAAATTCTACCACCCCTACGACAACAAATAGGGGAGAACAAAGAAAACTATAAAACGAAAGTTTCAGAGTTGTATAGTTATAATTGATGAAATGATTATCAACAGTAAATTTTGATCGAAACGTCATCCAGTAAATAATGCTGTTTCACAGATTGTGTGATACATCTAATAAACAAACTAATAAGGAATACCAGGGACTAACTAATCTAACTCAAGCCCAAACAATAATAATATTAAAAATAATCTACGATGGGATGTTGGATATATATATATATATACAAAAGACAAGAAAATAGATTAGTAACCGGTCAATATACATAGGTAGAGGCAACCATAGTAACCAGCGACAATAACAACAATCATGAAGCCTGATTACTAACAAGAATATTTGAAGAAGAAGAAAAAAACACAAATATACTATACTAACTAATCAGCATATAAGAATAGAACATATGCGCATACACGCAGATGTATATATATCTATCTCTTATAATTAGTCAATAAAATGAGACTAGATTACGATAACATACAAGAACAGAGTATACTCTCTCTCTCTTTCTCTAAGAGTGACATAAAAATACACTGAATCTGGGTTGTGTTTGTTGTTTTTTCTCTTCCAACGTAGAACTTTGCTCAAACAAAAGTGCAACAGTTCAAAGTTTCCATACTTCATTAATTGTAGAGAAAATAGAACTACAATAAACGAAGATGTATGGGAGAAAAAATCATTATACAATACAGAGAGTCAATCAATTGACAGTTGAATAAGATTCAAAAACTTATCAAAAAGTGTAATCTGTAAATGTTTGACATGCGATTCGCTCATGCTGTGATGCAACACGAATGAACTACATCGACTCATTCCTACCTTAAAGATAGAGAGAACTGAGTGAAGTGGTAGAGTGCGATGAT